TGGACACCAGAGCCTTGGATATGTCCCAGAAAGTCAGGCGATCATACAGTCGTCTGGAGAGCCTCAGTTCTGCCTCAACCTCCACCCCTGGCCGCCGATCCTTCTTTGGCTTTGAGGGACCTGAAGACTTGCCTGGAGTCTCACCTGTAGTGTGTTCAAAGTTAACTGAGATCCCAAAAGTACCTGCAAAGCCCTGGGTTCCAGACACGACGCTTCCTGGAATCTCCCCTCCAGTTGTGAAAGAGAAACGAAAGAAGAAGGTGCCAGAGATCCTGGTGAGTGAGGGGTGGGCACTGTACAGGGGGTGGGCAGGACTCCACTCCACCCGAGGATGTGGGGAAGTGACATGCTCTGGCCAGCATGGCTGCTTTCCCCACTCACGTGCCCTCATTTCTTTCCACCAGAAATCGGAGCTGGATGAGTGGGCTATGGCCATGAATGCTGAGTTTGAAGCTGCTGAACAATTTGATCTTCTGATTGAATGAGATAAAGTGGGGGTATACCTGGCCAGGCTCTCCGCTCTCCTTGTACATGTTGCCCTTTGAGTAGAGCAGTACTTTCAGGATCCTCTTCATTGGCTTGTTACCCAGAAAATGTGTTGCTGGCCCCTTGTCATATTGTGACTAGTTACCCTGGGCTTTCTGCAGCACTCCCCAGTGGTGGGGAGGAGAAGGCACCTCGGCTCTGAGCCGCTCTCAGAAACAGGCTCAGCTCTGGCTGTTCCTCTGCTGTTGCCTGTTGCCGGCTTGGAGTCTAGCCACCAACCAATCAAGAGGTTCTCTAGAGTCTGATAGGGAGCTCACAGGCTGGGGAGACAGGTAAACCCTTGAGCAAGAGTCCGTCTGGACACGGAGGTATGAAAGGAGGAGGATTGGTTTTTTGTTTTCTGTTTTTTTAACACCAGTGACTGTTACGTAGGAACTGTTCGTGTCTGTGTTCTGCTGTTGACACACTGCATTGGTGAATGAGGTACTGATGCTTAGGGCAAGTGGATATAATTCATGGTGTGGGCTCCAGATGCCACCAACTTGAGGTTTGTGGTCTCATCACCTTTTCCTCGTCCACATCTGTTTCTTCAAAGTAAACTGCGGTCTCGGCTCTGGGATGTGGCCTTCTGCAACTACACTTAGAACGTTCTGGATGTTATTTCTCATAAGCCTGACAGCTGTAGCATGATGGCAGCTTTTGCTGTGAGCTTGGCTATTACACCCTCACATGAGCCCATCCCTAGGCAGGGGGCTGCTGGGAACAAAAATGGATGTCTCATGCGGAATTGTTTCCTGCCTACCACCTCCTCTCAATTTTGGTAGAAGATACGGTTTCAAAGGCTATTGGACTTCCAGCATTTGCAAGTTCATGGGAGGAGAAGCTTCAGGATGAGAATTGTTACAACAGGATGGTTTTGAGGGGAGCACACCTGAAGAATTTATGCACACTGGTTCCTGTGGACCCTGCTGATTGCTAGCACTACAGACCCGTTTGCCTTTGAGGAACTAATGTGCAGCCCAGGGGAAAGGTTTAATGTCAAATAAACTTGTAAAGAGTTTTCTACCTGTTCGTAGACTGCTTTTTATTTGGTCGAAGACAGAGCCGCTGGTGTGAAGCCCTGAATCCTGTGTCTGTGGATTGTGTCCCCAGGCCTGTTCCTCTGTACAAGATGCCAGCCTGGCCTCTCTCAAATGACTGATCCCTGCTCTTCCAAGCTAGGGCTTCCTGGAATGAAGGCCCAAGTCCCCCATCCCAGGAGGGAAGATGTAAATGTGGGTAAAGCTGCTAAGCACTCTTTCCCAAGAGAGGTATATGGAATTGGCCACATTCCAGCTGTTTCTCTTTTCCAAAAGCTCTATTCAGCATAGGAGCCTGTGGCTCAGGTATAATAGCCCCTCCTAGATGCTACCCAGCAGCTGAGCTATGGGCACCTCTGAGAAGAAGACCAAAGATGTGATTCCTAGGGCTGTTGTGCAAATGTGGGTGTCCCAGATCATCCTCTGGTGAAATCTAGGCCATTACATTACATTTTCTCAAGATCTCTCTCTTTTTTTTTTTTTTCCTCTTTCCTTTTTCTTTTCTTTTTTTTTTTTCCTCCAGATCTCTTACTGAACTGAGAATACCATCTCAGCCAGACAGGCCAACAGGACCCCGGATCTGCCTTTCTCACACCCCTTCTCTGGTTCTAGGGTTATAGATGTATGCCACTACATCTGGCTTTAATGTTTGTGCTAGAAATCTGAACTCAGGTCCTCATGCTTTAGCAAGCCCTTTACCCACTAAGTCCCCTCAGCCCACACCATCATGTTGCATACTTGCAGTGTATCTTATCTGCATTATCATTGTAATTGAAAAGACACTGGCCACCTGTGCTAGCACATACCTTTAATCTTAGCACCAGGAAAGCAGGGGTAGGCAGATCTATGTGGTCCTGGTGCAGCCTGGTCTTAACATAGTGAGTTCCAGGACAGCCAGAGCAAGGGAAATCCTGTCTAAAAAGAACAAAAACAGCCAGATCTGGTTGCTCATGCCTTTAATCCCAGCACTCAGGATGTAAAGGTAGGTGGATCTTGGAGTTCAAGGCCAATCTGCTCTACAGAGGAGTTCCAGGACCATGAAAGCTACACAGAGAAACCCTGTCTTTGGGGGAGGGGGAGAGAGATGACTAAAAACACAAAACAGTTGGGGCATGGCACTGTCAGGACCTGGCATTGGCCTCTGTAGTGTTAATGGTCTTGAGAGATCAGCCAGGACATTCATGGGCACCATTATGGCAGTATAGAAAGAAGATAGGACAGGTGGCTGGTAACTTCAGACTTGAGGAAATGCTGCTGTTTCCATCCCAGTAGATGGGATATCTCATGGTACATTGAGAGTAGGAAACACCCTCAGAGTAAGCATACCAGCACCACCATGAACAGTCCTGAGGGAGGTACGTTTGCTTAGCAGGGAACGTGGGCAAAGTGGACAGAGAACTTGTGGGAACATTCCTGGGTAAGAGCACAGCTGTTGGGGTACATTGTGTAGTGAGTAGCTTCGGTCAGTTGAAAAAAAGAAGGCACTCCAAGATGAAATTTTAAGACCTATGTGGCAGCAGGAAGGCCCAGCCTCTCTGATGGATTGAACCCCTGAACAACCGTACAAAGGAGTTTTTTTGTTGTTGGTTTGGTTTTTTGTTTTTTGTTGGTTTTTTTTTTGTTTTTTTTTTGTTTTGTTTTTTTTTTTTTTTTTTTTTTTTTTTGAGACGGGGTTTCTCGGTGTAGCTTTTCCGCCTTTCCTGGAACTCACTTGGTAGCCCAGGCTGGCCTGGAACTCACAGAGATCCTCCTAGCTCTGCCTCCCAAGTGCTGGGGTTAAGGGTGCGCCACCACCGCCCAGCAGGAGTATTTATTGATTGTTACACAAAGTATTTCCTCATCCCAAGGTCCCTAATCTAATTTACATGTCTTACTAAAGGAGAGCATCACCTGCCCCCATGACTCTAGTCCTTTATTATGTATCATTTACAATACACAATAATACAAGAGCCTCAGGTGTGCCTGAAGCATCTTGTGACCAAAGTCATGGGATGGCTGCAATGGCCCCTTCAGCAAAACGGTTCTACAAATCACAGAAAACAATCACTGTTTTCCACAAGGATTCTTCAAGGTCAAGGTACTTCAAAAAAGTAGCTGTTCTTTCTGATGTCTCCCCCAGATACAGTGACTGCTAAGTTCCTCCAGCATGCAGCATTGGGGACAAGTTTGCAATTATATTAAAAAGAAAGAACCCCTACTTTTCTGAATGAGAAAATGAGGTGGGGTAGAAAACAAGGGATCAGCCAGCTGCACACCTGAAGTCCCTGCACTGGGAAGTGGAAGGAGTCGGAGCTCTAGGCCATGCTCCACTGTGTGATGAGTTCAAGACCAGCCTAGGCTTCACCAGACTCTGAAAGACAAGAACAAACACAAACCTTTTGAATGTAAGTGCATTCCCTGCAGCGCTGCCATGTTTGGGATGTGACTATGTGCCAAGAAATCCCCCAGGGGCTGTAGCTCTGTAGCTTAGTGATAGAGTGCTTGCCTAACACCCTTGGGCCCTTGGGTTTGATCTCCAGTACCACTTACATGGAAATGATTCGGTACCTGAAATTCATGTGTCCTGAATCTCACCTGGCAATTTTACCAAAGCTGCAGGTGAGCAGAATTTTGTCAAAAAAGCAAAAACAGTGTTGAGTGTAGTAGCGAATGCCTTTAATCCCAGCACTCGGGAGGCAGAGCCAGGCGGATCTCTGTGAGTCTGAGGCCAGCCTGGTCTACAGAGTGAGTTCCAGGACAGCTAGCTAGGGCTGTTAGAGAGAAACCCTGCCGTATTTAAAAAAAAAAAAAAAAAAAAAAAAAAAAAAAAGCAACCCCTGACTAAAGCACAGGGGTTGGGTTTGGGGGCAGTTGTTGGAGGACAGTATTTAAAGGAATCCTGCAGTTTTGTCAAGTGGAGAATACTTCTACTTTTAGTGTCAGATGGGCATTGAGAAGTAAATGAACGATGACATTTGCAGGCTGGAGAGATGGCTCAGAGGTTGAGAGCACTGGCTGCTCTTCCAGAGGTCTTGAGTTCAAGTCCCAGCAACCACATGGTGGCTCACAACCATCTGTAATGAGATCTGGTGCCCTCTTCTGGTGTGCAGGCATACATGCAGACAGAACACTTTATACATAAAATAAATGTTAAGAAAAAATAAAATAAATAAAAAAAAAAGATGACATTTGTAACCCTTTATTGTTTTTCCATACAGGGTCTCACATAGCCCAGGCTAGCCTTTAAGTCATTATTTAGCTGAAGGCTGGCCTTAAATTAACTTTTATTTTATTTATCTATTTTTGTGGTTTTTCGAGACAGGGTTTCTCTGTGTAGCTTTGTGCCTTTTCTGAAACTTACTCTGTAGCCCAGGTTGGCCTCAAATTTTATTTTTTTTTTAAGATTTATTTATTTATTCTGTATACAGTGTTCTGCCTGAATGTTTTCCTGCAGGCCAGAAAAGGACATCAGATCCCGTTATAGATGGTTGTGAGCCACCACATGTGGTTGCTGGGAATTGAACTCAGGACCTTGTTTTGTTTTTGAGACAGGATTTCTCTGTGTAGCCCTGGCTGTCCTGGAACTCACTCTGTAAACCAGGCTGGCCTTGAACTCAGAGATCCACCTGCCTCTGCCCCCAGGGCTGGGATTAAAGGCGCGCCGCCACCACCTGGCTGTTCTTAAAGTCTTCATCCTCCTTCCACCCCCTGAGTACTAAGACTACAGCTGTGCTTAAAGTATTTACTTTGGGGTTGTAATTGGATTAACACCCTGGAGATGGTCGTGGGCTCCTGACATGACTCTGTGGGTGAAAGCCTCTAAAAAAAGGCTAACAACCCAGGTGTGTTGCTACAAGTCGAAGATCTTCCCATCTTCACACACGGGCCACGCACAGGTGCACAGTGACAATATACTTTTTTTAAAAAAATTGACAACTGTGTGTGCTGATCACTTTTCTCCTCGTGTGGCAAATACCTGATGAAACAGCTGAAGTAAGGAAGGTTATTTGGGCTCACGGTGGAAGGACATGCTCCATCGTGGCGGCAACGTCATGGCAATGGGAGCTTGAGGAGTCTGGTCACGTTGCTTCTGCGTTTGTGATGCAGGGCCAGATGAGTGCCAGTGCTCAGTTCTCTTTCTGCTTTTCATTCTGTCTAGGCCCCCAGCCCCTGGGATGGTGACATCCATATCTAGGGCGGGTCTTCCTCCCTCAGTTAACCCAGTGTAGTAACTTCAGTGACATGCCAGGAGATTTGTCTCCTAGGTGATTCTGATTGTCATGGTGACAATATTAACCATCAACCCAGCATCCTGTATCGTATTTGCTGAGGGCTTTACCATCTGGGCCGCACCATGGTCTGTCTACACTAGCTCAGGGGTTCTGACTTGCTGGACAGAGCTGGTAATGGCCGCTCCCTAGACCAGTTACTACGCCAAGACAACCAAGCTTGTTAGAAAAGGCAGACACATAGGCTGGGGAGTGGGTCACCAAGCAGATCTGTCTCCCTCAGTCTCCCACAGGCAAACTGGGTGCCCACTCCATGCAGACCTTGACAAGAGCAATGAAGCCTGCTGAGCCACGGCTAGAAGAACCAGGGAACTCCAGGGAGCACAGCGTGGAGGTGACAGCAGGCCCTGGGGGCTCCCTCATTTACTGCCGACCCTCAGACAGAAGGCAGGGGAGAGAGGGGCGCTAAGAAACTCATCCTTAGCCTGGGCCAAGACCTGTATTCCCGATCCTCAAACTCCTCTTGCTGCTTAGCGTCTTGGGTCCTTCTCCAGCTGGAGGGCCTCCTCTAGGAGAAAATTCATTTGCCCTGTCCTTTCCACGGCTACCTCCCCATAAGCTGAGGGGCGGCAGAGACCAAGCCCCTGTAAAGCAGAGGAACGGGAAGGGCCAATGGGAGGAGGAAGGGCTAGGCTTGGTTGGCGCCTCATGCCACGTCAGTCACCAAGGCCCCTTCTCTGCAAAGCCATCTTCAGAGCCAAAGTCGGACCAGCAGTCAGAACCCACTGTCGCATTCCTGTTCACACTCCTGAACACCCCTGAGCCCAAAGATGCTGAATCGTAAGGTTACCTGAACGGGTGTGTGTCTGTGAGTGGGTGGGTATTATCTTAGGGAGGTGGAGGACAACCCACCACCACCACCACCACCACCTCCACACCATACCATCATCACCACCACCACCACCACCACCACCACCACCACCACCACCACCACCACCTCCACCACCATTCAAACCTGTGCTGAACAGCAGGAAGGCCCACACATGACTGATGGAGCTGGGTCCCAGGCTGGGAGCTAACAACTGGCCTCCAGCCCCTGAGGTCTGCTCTCACCTCCCCAGGGACACGGAGGCACTGGAGAGACAGTTCCTGGGTCGGGATGACTGGGGCCCTAAGCGGACTTCAAAGGAGATGCAGAGTTTGCAGAGGGACTGCAAGAGGTGAGCTTCGGGGACATGTGGGGCCAGTGTGCAGGACAGGATGGTGAAGCCAGGTCTGGTTCTTAGCTGAGGGCTTTGGCTGCTGCTGTGGCTTTGGGTCTTCACTTGCCCTGAATCCTCTGCCTGTGTTCTCTTTGTATTTATTCTGTCCCAACCTAGATAATAAGCTCCTTGCCAGCAGGGCCCTCACCTCCCAAGCAGAAGTGTCTATCCTACAGGCTCAGGACCTGCCGTACTGGTTAGCGACCACAGCCATGGCTGAGTGGCAGGAGTCTGGTGTATTGACCTTTAACTGTCAAAGTACTAGATAGGTAGCTGGCTGTGGAGGGTTCTGTTCTGTGATGTCAGCCAATGGAGCGTGGAGTCTGCTCAATTCTACCTGGCAACAGAGGTCCTGGGATGGACGTCTTGCCTTTCCTCTGCTGCTTCGTGCCTTTAACCATGGATCTGAGCAGTGCAAGTTTCCACTCACTCACTGCTGGCACGGAGTTCTCAGGCAGGGCTGATTTCATAGAATCTCACCAACCTGGAACCATAGAGTCCTGAACCAGCCCTGATACAGCTCAAAGGGATGGCCTGCTTTCTGCCCTGCTCCATGGAGACCTCAGAGGACTCATGGCCCAGCCCAGGTGATAAGCAGCCTGTCTCTTGCTAAAGAAGAGTTGGGTGTGGGTACACACAAGCAACCCCGGCATTTGAAGGTGGAAGCAGGAAGATCAGGGGGTTCGACATCATCTTCTCTATGAGAATTCTCCATCAGCCTGGGCTACCGAGACCTTGTTATAAATAAATAACAAATAAGGGTTGAGGATGCAGCTCAGGTGGTTGAGTTTTTGCCTTCCAGGAAACTGGGATTCCAATCCCAGTATTGTATAAACTAGGTATAGTGGTACATGCCCATAACCTCAGCAGTGGTGGGTGAAAGCAGAAGGATCATGAGTTCAAGATTTTTTTTGTTTTTTCGAGACAGGGTTTCCCTGTGTAGCTTTGTGCCTTTCCTGGAACTCACTTTGTAGACCAGGCTGGCCTCGAACTCACAGAGATCCACCTGGCTCTGCCTCCCGAGTGCTGGGATTAAAGGCGTGTGCCACCACCGCCCGGCATGAGTTCAAGATCTTGTCCTGAACTTATCTCTAGAGTAAGCTTGAGGCTAGCCTGGGCAACATGAGAGTCTGCCTCAAATTTATGTAATTAATTACTTACAATGAATAAAAATAAAGGGGAGAGGCTGGTGATATGGCTCAGCTGTTGAGAGCACTGGCTGCTCTTGCAGAGGACCTGGGTTCAGATCCCAGCATCCATATAGAGGCTCACAGCTGTCTATAGCTCTAGTCCCAAAGGATCTGATTCCCTCTTCTGGCCTCTGAGGGCACCAGGCACAGAAGCAAGCAAAACATTCATAGTGTAAATTAGAAATAAGTAAAAAAAAATTTTTTTGTTTTTCAAGACAGGGTTTCATTGTGTAGCCCTGGCTGTGTCCTGGAACTGCCTCTGCCTCCTGAGTGCTGGCATTAAAGGCCTAAACCACCACCGCCCAGCAGAAATAAGTAAATCTTTTTTTTTTTTTTTTTTTTCTGAGACAGAGTTTCTCTGTGTAGTTTTGGTTCCTGTCCTGGATCTAACTCTGTAGACCAGGCTGACCTTGAACTCACAGAGATCATCGGGAGGCTCAAGAGATTGCTCAGTGGTTAAGAACATTGATTGCTCTTCTAGAGGATCCAGGTTCAATTGTCTGTAATTGTCTGATACCCTCACACCAATGCACATAAAATAAATAATTAAAAAAGTAAATAAATAAATAGATAAGAATGCTGGGCATGGTGGCCCATGCCTTTAAATCCCAGCACCAGGAGGCTGAGGCAGGCAGTTCTCTGTGTGTTTGAGTCCAGTCTTGTTGACACAGTGCATTCCAGGCCATCCAGGGCTACATAATAAGACCCTGTCTTGACAACAACAACAACAAAACAAAACAAAAATGTTAAAAAAGGGAGAAAGCGGCTGATACAAGTTGTCTAGAAGGAATAGTTCCCTCTGCAATGGTGATGTGGGTAAGTCCGGCCTCCTAAGGGAGCGCTAGCCACAAGAGCTGATGCAAGGAGTGTGTGTGTGTGTGTGTGTGTGTGTGTGTGTGTGTGTGTGTGTGTGTGGGGAAGGGGTGACTGGGAAGAGAGCGTGGGGCTCAGGGGGCCTCTCCTTTACCCTAGGCTTCAGGAGGCCCTGGACTGTAACCACAGGGACAACCTGGCCCTTGAAGAGAAGCTAGAAAACCTGGTGAGACCTTCAGCCCCAGAGCCATGCCTTGCCTTGGCTCCTCCCTGCCCCCAGCCTCACCCCTTTGCCCCTGGGGATGGAGGTAGTCCTGCTGGTCAGCCACCCACCTCAAGTCCTACAATCTCTTGTCCCAGGCTACCTCATTGTACGAGAACCTGGAGGAAGGTCTGGTCACTTCAAAGGACCCTCGAGTCACCCAGGAGATAGCTAATGTCTCCCAAGGGGAAGCAGAGGGCACCCAGGAGAAATCAGAAGACACCGAGGAGGAAGCCTTTGCTCTTAGGTATCTGAAGAGGTCTTCTGCCCAGCGCTACTCCCTTGAGCGTCCCATACCACAGTCATCAGCCATGGCCAGGCGTGAGACCAAAGAATGGGTACCTCCTCGGGAGGCCGCTCCATCAGTCAACCCCTCTTTAAGCCCCAGCAATAAAGATCCCCACTGAGTTGCAGAACCAAGATGGGCCTGTCACTTGGATAGAGTAGAATCCAGCCACTCCAAGGAGAGCTGGGTCTCTGGACCTTCCTAATACTCCAGCCCTGCTTCCAGACTCACTCAAGGAGCGTTCTGTGGTCAGTCCAGGGTGGGCCAGGTGGGCTGTTCTTCATCCTTGAGCATCAAGGCTGTAATCTGAGAGTACAGATACAACACACTAAGGTCAGTAAGGATTTCTTCCACCTGTAACCTCCTACAGGTCACTACCCCTTTTGTAGGCCGTGGGGCGGGAAGTAGGAAGATGATGGGGACTCCCCAGGGCCTGGAGATGCATTTAGATCTGGGCTGGGAATGCCTGAGGGCTTTGCCTCTCAGTATTTGTTCAGCCTAGGGAGCCTCACTAGGCACCCACAATCCCTAAAGGGAGAGAGACAAGCTGTGTGTATGTGAAGAGAAGTCCCAATTTCCAAAGCTGGACTGGAATGAATGAAGCTCTTGTCACACATGCTGGAGGACCTGAGTTCGAGTCCCAAGAATCCACATAACAGTGGGATGTATAACATGAGTGGGTATAATCCCAGCACTCCTGAGAAGTGGGGGGTGGAGACAAAAAGACCCAGAAGCTCTCAGGCCAGCTAACCTGGCCTATGTTGTGGGAAAATAACAAAGATAACCTGTATAAACTGACAATATGACTGCTCCATGGTATGGTTAAGGGGGAAGTTTTTACTGTGGAAATGACAGCCAGAGACATTTCTTTTTTTTTTTTTTTTTTTTACAATATAGAGACATTTCTTGAAAGAGTCCAGAGTAGAGAGAGAAAGTAGACTGAACATGGCCAGCAGACTGGACCTGGTCAGGGCTCTCTGTGAGAGAGGAGAATAGCAGAGTCTAGAGAATAGAGAAAACACAGTGAGAGAAGCAGAGAAGAGCAGAGAGATCAAGAGAGAAGAGACTATCAAGACTAGCCAGGCAACTGGGGGTGAGGGTGGCGGCGGCGGTGGCGCACTTCTTTAATCCCAGCACTCGGGAGGCAGAGGCAAGCGGATCTTTGTGAGTTCCAGGCCAGCCTGGGCTACAGAGTGAATCCCAGGACAACTAGGATGGTTACATAGAGAAATCCTGTCTCGAAAAACCAACAGAAAAGAAAAGAAAAACGTATAGTAGGGTATAGTGTAAATTCTAATTGGTCATAATAATAAAAACCCAGAGCCAGATATCTGGGTAAATGCTGAAAGATCAGAGAGACAAAGGAACAAGCCACAGCTACCTGTTACCGAGTAGAGCTCTCTCACAGAGAGCCCTGACCAGGTCCAGTCTGCTGGCCATGTTCAGTCTACTTTCTCTCTCTACTCTGGACTCTTTCAAGAAATGTCTCTATATTGTAAAAAAAAAAAAAAAAAAAAAAAACTCCTCAGCCTGAAAGGGGTGAGCTCCTGTCTCCTCCCGTCTTATATCCCTTTCTGCCCAGCCATATCATTTCCTGACTCCACCTCCCTCGTGCTGGGATTAAAAGTGTGCACCACCACCGCCTGGCTTCTATGGTTAACTAGAGGTTAGCTCTGCACTCTGATCTCCAGGCAAGTTTTATTTGTTAAAGCATACACAAAATATCACCACAGTAGGGAAGGAGTAGCAGCTGGGGAGGTAAAAGCCTTCGGTAAAAGTCGGTTGCATCCTACTCCACTTCAGGTAAATAACCTATGCATTTTTGGAGCCCGAGCTAGAATTCCTCTCTAATCCTCTTAAGTTGTTTTGTTTTTGTTTTATTTGTTTGTTTTGCTTTGTTTTGTTTTTTTGAGACAGGGTTTCTCTGTGTAGCTTTGCACCTTTCCTGGAACTCAGGAAACCTTTCCTGGATCTCACTCTGTAGCCCAGGCTGGCCTCGAACTCACAGAGATCCACCTGGCTCTGCCTCCCATTGCTGGGATTAAAGGAGTATGCCACCACTGCCTGGCAATCCTCTTAAGTGTAAAAGGATAGGAAACCCTAGAAAGGATGGTGGTGGGATTCAGGTGACCTGCAGATGCCATCCAGAAGGAGTTCCCTGCCTGAGGCTCCTCCTCCAACCAGGCTCGACTCTCCTGCCACCCCCAGAATTGGGAATCAAAGCCAGGGCCTCAACTGTGCCAGGCAGGTGCTTCACCATTGACATACAGCTCCAGCCCCCTCCTCTCTTTGTTTGGTTTGTAGTGCTGGGGGCGGTTCCAAGCTGAGGGCACATGTGCTTTGATCCTGTCTCAGCTTAGGCTGAGCAGAGCTCACACCTTGGATTCAACAGTACATCTCTTCAGAGACCCAATTCTTATCTGATGATTGGAAGGGTCCCAGGCATCCTCTTCACCCATTTCCTGCCATCCTTGACCACTGGCAGAGCTGTACATCATTTTCCCAAAGGGAACAACCCAATACTGAGGTTAGCCAGGGATCTTTTGGCCAACAGTTAAATGATGAATCCACTTAACTGTTTGAGGACCTCTCCTCACATTTATTAGAGACTCTCATTTATCATGTATAAAAACATTTCCCCGGGCTGGGTTAAGAGCACTGACTGTTCTTCCAGAGGTCCTGAGTTCAATTCCCAGCACCCACACGGTGACTCACAACCATCTATAATGAAGTCTGATGCCTTCTTCTGGCCTGCAGACATACATACAGGTAGATCACTGTATACATAATGAATAAATAACTCTTAAAACATTTCCCCAATAGATAAAAATTTTCCTACTTATTAATAGGTTTTCTGTCTCCCTGCCCCCCATAGTAGGTTTCTCTGCCGACACAGTAAGCCAGATCAAGCCCATTGAAAAAGTAAAACAACAGGTGAAGTTCTCCAGTCCCAGAGGTGGAGGCCAGAGAAGCCACACCCCTAGAGTGAAGCAGGGATTCTTTGTAGGTTGGACGCAAGGGGTAATGAGGTGCCTGCCAGAAACTGGGTGTGTGCCCCGTATCGTCAAAAGCTGAGCAGTTAGGCGGGATGTCTGGGCTGCTGGCGGCATCGGGGAAGAAGAGGCGGCAGTGGCGGAGAGTGCGGAACTGGGCTTTTTGGCACCTTTCCTTTGTTTGGAGACTCTCTGAGCAGGTGGGGTTTGGAGAGGGAGGGAGAGGGAGGAATGGCGCTTTCTGGCCCATGCACGGGTGAGCTGGAGGTTCCAGCTGAACAATTATGGTAATAAAACCTATTCCCACTGTAGGGTAAAACGGCCAGCCAAAGAAACCCACCCTGACCCTGAGCCCAGAGCCAGTGAAAGAAACACTTTAGCCCTGAACCCAGAAGCAAAGAAATACATGCTGACCCTGAAACCAGTGCCAAAGAAACATACTTTGGCCCTAGAATCAGAGCCAGTGAAAGAAATATGCCCTGGCCCTGAAGTTAGAGCCCAAAGGCCAAAATGGGCCAGCGAAAGAAACACACTTCGGCTCTGAAACCAGTCAAACCTGCGCCTGACCGACTAAGCAGAAAAGTAACCAGTCCCTGAGCAGGAAAAACAAACTAATCTTTGGGCAGAAAACCAACCAATCCCTGAGCACGAGATCTAGCCAATCCGAGCTCAAGACCTGAAATCTCACCAATGCCCATCTGAAAATCATCTTCCTGGAAAAACTCCGCCCCTAAGAAGCCCTATATAAGCCGTGTCTGTTCAGTTGAGGCTGCCCCCTTTTCACCCTGGCTGAGGCACTCCGTTTCCTGGATCTTCCTTCCCAGTAAATCTCTTGCAGTTTAGGTGAGACCTTCGTTCTCCGGAGCAGAGACCAACCTGGGCAGAGCGGAGCTGAGCTGTAATACTTTCGATGGGGAACCCTTCCCCTAGCAGAGTGGACAACTCCGGGAAACCGGAGCAGAAGTGTAACGACTTCCCCGGGGAATCCCTCCTCTTCTGGAGCAGAGCTGTACAGTGGGGAAGCCTTTCCCTAGAACAGGGCTGCAAGCTCCTCTGCTGACCGTGACCTGTGGTATTCCTTGGCTCCCAATTCCTTGGCTCCGGATTGGCAGAATCCTTTTCCATCTGAGCCACAGTGCTTACACCCGCCCCTCTGTGTCCACAACATTATTCAGTTTAGATTGGCTTAATCTTGAAGTATATATAGTTCAATAGGACTGGGCAAGATAATAAAATGCTCCTAAGCGTTCTGAACCCTTAGATTGGTTGACATTAATAAGGAAACAATTTTAAATTATAGTTAATAATAAGGGGGAGGCACGTGTGCTGCAATGCTTGGGGTGTCAGAGGACGCCTCTGTGGAGATGTTCCCTCTCTTCACCTTTACGTGGGCTCCAGGGACCAAACAGGTCCCCAGGCTGGTGTGGCAAGCTGAGCTATCTCTCTGGCCCGGAACCAGTTTATCTCATAAAAAAGAAACTGTCTCTGGTGATGATTTCAAGCTCTTGCCAGGTTAGTCAGGAGGGGCCCACAATACATCATTTTCCTCAGGATTTCACTGTCAGCAATAGCTAACTGTCCCATCACACTTTTAGGTAACAAACCTCTTTTTCTGACCAAAACATCATTTTTGTACTTGCTGTTATTGGCATATCTCAATTTCCTTTTGGGTTGGGTAGGAACTAAATTCCAGAACTCACAACCAAACTGTCTGGTTATGCAGATAAAAGTTACTTTCCTTGCCTAGTAAGGGACAAGGTGGAACTTGGGAACAGACCAGCCTGAGGGCTGTGCTTGACTTTCTCTTTCAAAGCAGAGTGAATAAACTAATTAAGGAAACATGGGGGGGGGGGGGAGCTGGAGAGATGGCTCAGCAGTTAAGAGCATCTGACTGTTCTTCCAGAGGTCCTGAGTTCAATTCCTAGCAACCACATGAGAGCTCACAACCATCTGTAATGAGATCTGGTGCCCTCTTCTGGCCTGCAGGCATACATGCAGGCAGAACATTGTATACCTAATAAATGAATGAATGAATGAATGAATAAATAAATAAATAAATAAAACATCGGAAAGTTTGAGGGGTTCCAGGGAAGGAGTACCCCACCGTAGGGACTTCCATCAAGAGCAGATCATTGTGACCT